GCATCCCCGGGCCTGGATGACTCCCCCCTCTGCGCCTCCTCCTGCGCGGGCCCGGGGTATCTCGCTGCTCCAGCAGTCGCTGCGGCCACGCTGCCCCTCGCTCACCTTCTTGCCCCTTAGGTGGCCCAGGCACCGGGATGTCCAAATGAGTGGTCCGCTGCCGGGAAGCCAGTCGCTAGGACCTGGAAGCAGCCTCAGGGCGGCAGGGTTCACAAGCACATCTACAGAAAGGCCTGCTGGAGCCATCGTCGCACCCCAGGCAGGACACACGCACGTGGGGCCCGTGCTGCTCCTGCTCACAAACAAGTGACTCCACCTGCTACTCAAGGAATTGTCACCCTTGGGCCTTCACTGTCCCATGTGGATATACGCGGAACACCTCTGTCTGACCTGGCGTTAACCGAGCGATTTACGAGAACCATGGAAGACAGCAACGTCTGAACACAAGTCTCTGCAGACAGATGGGGGCGAACGCAGTATTGAAACGCATCTGCCTCATGCAGCTAAAGCCACGGAAAGTCAAAGGCTCTGTTCCAATGACTACGATAAACTGCAGGGGGATTTCTAGACCCACTGAGCACCTAGGTAAAACGGGTGTAAGTATTAGAGAATGACCCTGTATCTTTCAGCAATTACTTGAATACCATCATACTATGTGGAAGACATCCCAGGGAGTTATTAAATGCTGTCAGAGCTCCGGAAGAATGGAATGAATGTGAGCTTTCCCTGTTGGAGTTATCCCGTCAAGCCAGAGTAGAAAATGGCAACAGTTCAGTGAGTTACGCAGCTGGATGCTCATGGTCCACTGCAGCTCTGAATCTCAGGGATGCCACCTGCACAGGCTCAGACTGTCCTCCGGGTCCCAGCCTAGCTCGTACCAAGACCCCAGTCCTGGTTTGGGGGAATTCTGAAATCTCAATCTAACAGAACTTTCTTCTCTTCTAGTAGATGTAGTCCTTCCTTAATTTCAACTCATTAAAAAACTTTTATAGTTTAGGGCAGTGGAAGGAAGGCTGGCATCAAATATTTTTATTTTAAAAAAAAAGGCAATGTAAAAGTCCAGTTGCGGCACAGTGTTTTTTAAAGTAATTTGTAAATAATTTACTGTAGCCTAAATTTGCACTCTTTGCAGACTTGTGCATATGTATTCTGCTATAGTTTTGCAAATTGTACACAAACAAAAAAGGTGGAAACTTTTTCATAAAGAAACTGCATTTCTGATCTGTATTAGAATATAATAAATCTCCAGTTATAGTCAATTACTGCTTGTGTTGTCCAGTCCCAGCAAGCCAGTGAAATCTAGAACAGCCACCCTTTCATTACTCACCACATTCCCCAAACCTAGTATTTACAAGTAGAACTACTAACTTAGGGCTAGACTTGCCAGCACCTGAGTACATATTATGGAGTATTTTAAGCTTGCTGTAGAATAGTCTAGACTCAGTCATACCTTCCTCAGGGAGAGCATCTGATTTTAAGTTGAAATTTCTGACTTTTAAACCTGAATGACTTTCAAAGATATATCACTGTGTTTCTTCAAGATGATGGGAAATCACTTGGAGAGATCATCATGGGATACACGGGAGCTTACTTTTAGAGACGCTTGTTTGTGTAAACATGACTGACATAACAAGATACATGTGGGTGATAAAGTAAGTAACAAGTATAAATCTAACTGTGCCGCTAATTTGGGAATAAAATATATTGGTCATTCTCTGTATTATGAAGTGATATGATCACGTGAATTTCATGTTAACCCTAAATTATATATTACATTGTGTGTATGTTAATACCTATATACTTGGGTATATGTATATATGTGTGCATATGTGTGTGTGTGTACATATATATGTAATGTAGTTTCCAGAGGTATGAATAGATAAGTCTGCATGAGAAGCTGTGAATTAAGTGGCTGTACATCTACCACTTTTATAGTAAATTGCTGAGGTAGTCTTTAGCAGTGAACATAATTCTTCACATAATTTTATTTTATCCTTTAAAGACAGCATTAGTATTCATTAAATAGATCCACAGGTAAAATGTATTTTCTGGGAGTACTTTTGACATCTCTGTTTATTAAACTCGGCAGATATTAAGTTAGTATTTTCATCTGAATAAACCCCCTTAGTATGCACCACAACTTAAAATATAACCTAAAGGTAAAGCACTTTGGTACCCCATGCCGTCCTTGCAACTTAACACCACAGCGAATGCTATAGCAGTTCATAAATTTATTTAAATACAGGTATGAGTCTTGACGTCGATCACGGTTCCCACGTTCGCTTTTGCTACATCCAGGGGTTCAGTTACTCATCGCTGCCCTCCACCAGTCTCTGCTGGCAGGGCACTAACACTTGGTGTTCAGACAGCACCATCTGTAATAATCCAAAGTCATGGGAAGACAGGACTCACGCACCCTCCTGTTGTCTGTGAGAAAGCAGCTCACAGAGTCCGTGTAAGGCTTCCTGAGACTCTCTGCAGTGACAGAGCCAAGGCAACGGCGGGACAGAAACTGAGTCAAGCTGGCATGTCCCATGGTAAGGAGACTATACACAAGGCCGGGTTCTGCACGAGCCGAGGGCCTGATGGAGCTCCTGGCTCCCGGGCTGTGGGGCACTCTCTCGACCAGCCGGCCCTGAGACACCTATGTGGCCTCTGAGTGCTCATCTTTGGAGGCAGCAGAGGCGCCGGAGGGAAGCACCGTCTGCTCACCCCAACTAGACGCAGCGTGAGCCAAGACGAGGAGGTCTCACGAAGAGGAAACTGTGGGACCCACGGGCACTTCGACATTCGTGTGGCATTTAACACACCGCCACCGTCCCACGTTCCTGTCTGATAACAGGACTGCTTTTGGTATTTGCTCGGCTGCCCTTGTGTCCTTAGCAGGTAGGAAAGCAGCAAGCATTCCCCAACCGCCCAGAAACCGGCGTCTAACCACCATCTCTTTTCCCAACAAGCTAACACAACAATATTTTAAATTACTTTGAAACTTTAATTACAGGTACTTTTCCACTCAACATTTCCAAGTTTGGATTCTCTCCTCTTCTGCATAAAGGCTGTCCAGGTGGTTAAGCTAAACCGTGTGCCTTTTCCTATGTACATATCTACACCCAAGTCTCTTCTTTATTAATAAAAGGTGTCTGGGTTGCCGTCCCAAACCAACAGCTCTGCACTGGATTCCAGCTTGTAAAACTCAGAGAGGAAGCGACTTCAAAGGAGGACAGGAAGCAGCCACAATAAAAAGCTGTAGCTTATTATTCATTTCTCCCAAGTTCACCCCTGAAACCTAATAATAATAATTAAGAGGAAGAAAAGAAGACGACCTAGCTCTCCCCTGCCCCCCTGCCAGACACACTAGCCCCACACGCGCTGCGGCCTTAAAGTGCAATTACTGTCGCGAAGGCGCCCGGGCCGGGGATCCGACTGGACCGAGTTCAAAGCGCGCGGCTCCCCACGCGGGCTGGGAGGGAGGGCGCAGAAGGGAAGGCACCACAGGCCTCGGGCGCCGGGCTGCATCGGAAGCAGGGGCCTCTCTTTTCTAAGGAAAAAAACTGTAAATGGTAAGGAAACCCGGTTTGGAAAAATACAACTTTTAAAAAATGTCTATCTGAGGATATTCCAGTGCAGCAGAGTCCAGAGGCAGGCAAGCGCAGCAAGGACCGGGGGGCACGCGCTCCTCCCGGGCGCCCGGCTCCCGTACTGGTGGGCCCTGTGGTCCTCGGAGAAGTCCTCGGGGCGGGGCCCGGAGGAAGCACACTGCACTAAGGGCATCTGGTAGGACGTGGCTCTCTTCTCGGGCCTGTCCGGACTGGACCCGTCACTGGGCCTCTGGCCATTGAACAGCAGATAGCGGCCGCGGGCGTCCTGCTCCATTTTGAAGATCTCGTACTCGGTGTGAGGTAGTTTGATTCCCAGCGCCACACAGCCATTGGTGTGCGTCACATCCTGCTGGACGCCCACCTGCCAGGAGCCCTCGGCCCCACATTCGTTCCCATTGAAGACATTGAGGAGCGAGGCAGTGGCCGCATCCATGGGGGTGACCTTCATGTGGTTCACTGCAAAGGAGAGGGGACATTTCTGTGACTCTCAGGGAGTGAGCTGCGGTGCAGAAGGCCCATGGAGCACCTGCGGGCAGAGCTCCATCTCCCCAAGGCTTTCTGATCTAAAACCACCCCTGACACCCGTCCATCTGACCGCAGCCAGCATAAAAGCATTCTCAGATGGAAAACTGAACGCATTGCTCTGAATAACAATCACACCAAATGTATGTTGAGCAAAAAAACCTAAATTCTGCGTACAAATGCTGAGCCCAGATTGCAATTGGTCGCAATTGTCTTTGATGACACTGACTCTTTGGGACTGACAAAATATTCAATAAAACCAGAATTTTGATTTTTTTTTTAAATGAAAAGGTTTTAAAATAGATTTGGTGTCAAACACTCATACTAGTTAGAAGTCTTCCAAATTAATACTGGCCCATAAATTGGGCAACTAAAATAAATTAGACTACAAGCATGAAAAATGAATACATATATTAAATACAAATCCCAAAACTTATAGAGGACTCTTTTGAAGGCCCTCCCAGAAGACTGTATTCTGTGTATACCAAGAGAGCTTTGGAGTCGAATCAGACAAATGTGGCCATTCTCTTGGCTACAACTATCAAAGGTCCATTCTCCTTGGAGCAAATCTTCCTTTCTTAAGAGAAGGGCTAAGACGCCCTAGGGCCTATCTGGGTTATCGGAAACACTCTATACTAACTAGACTGAACCGTGGAATGCTATCCTGAGAGCGGTCATCCCCAGTGTCCAGGCCATCCCTCTGAGTTGCCATGACAGGGCTGATACCATCTTACAAAGATGTACAAGCTTTAAAAAAATCTAGACAGAGAGACCAAAAGATAGCCCTTCCCAACAAAAGCCCAGTGAATTTCATTCCTCACCTTCCTCGCTTATTATTAAGGATCCTAAGCCTCCCACCTTGGAGCATGTGACAGCTTCCCCATGCAGGACAAACCCAGCACTGGAAGCGACACCTCTGAGGCCCTGGAGTGTAACTAACACCTGCTTTTTATCACTCATGAAAGAAAGCACAGTGCGTGCAGTGTGATGTTACCACAGGGGTAGCTCAGAATATGCCATGAGCTGCACATAAGAAAGGAAATGTGCAGACTTGAGATTTCATTCTTAGTCACAACCTGGGCCACACGTGACACTGCACAGAGGTGTGGGCTCCCCCATTTCTAGTAACCTTCTCTTGGGCCACACCTGACACCAAGCACAAGGGGGTGGGCTCCCCCATTTCTAGTAACCTTCTCCTGGGCCACACCTGACACTGTGCACAGAGGTGCGGGCTCCCGGCACCAGGCCTGCGGGCTGAGCCGCCCACCCTGGCTGGCAGAGGAGTGCAGAGGCTGTTGTAAATGATGACTGTGGGGCAGAAAGAGATCCCTTAATCTCTTCTCCATCTCTAGCAGAAAAGAGACCCTTTCTCTTGGGTTCCGCCTCAACAAAGCTCACAAAGCTGCTCACTCTCCCTCACCCACTGGGCTGTTACCCTGGGATTTGAGGCAGGAGACCTACCTTTGAACACAAACTCAGTTCCTCCCATGACCCTGGAGGAGTGCACGCCCCGGCTGTAACGGCCCTTGGCATAGATGGTGAAGGTGGGATGCTTGCAGACGGGGTCCGAGTAGTGGTAGTAATGCCCTTCCCAGGTGTTATTGTTGTCGTGGAAGATGAAGTGGCGCGTGAGGAAGAGGACTTCGGGCCGCACCTCACAGCGCTGGCTCACCCACTCACCATGCAGGCCAACAGTCAGGTCAGCCTTGGGGGGCAGGAGGGGAGGGTGGTGCTCGTCTGACCGGTGGATGATTCGACAGGCTATGCAGGCATGGTCGTGGTTCTGCAGCCAAGACAAACACAAGGAGAGACCTGTCTTCACAACAGCGCACTGTACACATGCTTTCTGCAAATGGCCATCACCATAGTGGGCGTGGGTAAAGCACCAGAGCACCATGACTTGTGACCTGGGTACCCAAGAAGCACCTGGAGCCATGCCTCAGGGCACAGGCGGGGTGTATGTGTTCGCATGTGTGTGTGTGTCCACAAGTGCACATGTGTTTGGTTGACATTAGGAACTTAATTAAATATTTCCTAAGGAGATATGAACCCTTTTTAGAATCCTATTACATTTTCAGAATACGTGTGCTAGATTCTCTTTCAAAAAGAAGGATTTATATCACCTCACACCCATTAGGATGACTACTATAAAAACATACACACAAAAAAACAACCCAGCCGGGTCGAGCATGGCTCAGCAGTTGGGCATCGACCTAGGATCCAGGAGATGTAGGTTCAATTCCCCTTCAGGGCACATGCCCGGGTTGTGGGCTCGATCCCCAGTCGGGGGCCTATAGGAGGCAGCCGATCAATGACTTTCTCTCATCACTGATGTTTCTGTCTCTCTCTCCCCCTCTCCTTTCCTCTCTCTGAAATCAATAAAGATATATTAAAAAACAAAACAAAACAGAAAATAACAGCGTTGACAAGAATGTGGAGAAATTGGAACTCTTGTGCGCACACTGCTGGTGGAAATGTAAAATGCTGCAGCTGCTATGGAAAAGAATTACAATATAACCCAGTAATTACACTTCTGATTTATACCCGGCAGAGTTGAACCCAGGGTCTCAAAGAGATATTTTTTCGCCCATGTTCATAGCTATTATTCACGATAGCTAAACTATGGAAATGACCCAATGCACATTGACAGGTGAATGGAAAAACAAAATGTGGTCTATCCCATACAATGAAATACTGTTAAATCTTAAAAAGGGAAGGAAATTCTGACACATGCTACAACATGGATGGACCTTGAGGATGTTACGCTAAGTGAAATAAGCCAGAGACAAAGGACAAATACTGTGATTCCACTTATATGAGGGACCTGGAGTAGTCAAATTCACAGGGATAGGAAGTAGAATGGTGGTTCAGGGCTTGGGGAGGGGAAATAGGGAGTGTTTAATGGGCACAGAGTCAGTTGGAGAAGATGAAAAAGTTCGGCAGATAGGTGATGGTGATGGACGTATAATAATATGAATGTACTTAATACCACTAAACTGTACACTTCAAATGGCCAAGGCGGTAAATTTTATGTTATGTGCATTTTACCACAATTAGGTATTTTTCATTAAAAACAACTGGGAGATAAGACACACACTTCTTTTTTTTTTTTTTTAAAGGACAGCATCCAATTGCTGTGGACTAGAAAGGGAGCTGTCTGGTAAAGGAGGGAGTGAAGGAGGAGACCTGAAGAAAGGCAAGAGCAGAGCCTCAAAAGACAGCAGGCACACCTGCCATCCATTTGTGTCTGCTGGCCTCAGGGTTTGGAAGGTTTATGGGCTCTTAATATGCTTCCTGCTTAATAGCTTTAAGCCATTTAATAAGTGCAAGATAGCTGGGGCTCCTCTCTCGCTGAGTCTGCTTTATAACACTCACACAAGCCCTGAGACAGGGCCCTCTAGGTTTGTGGCTAGAAAACCTATTAGTAGGGTGGCCAGACACTGTCAACCATGTAAATCCTTATGGCCCAGAGGGCTCAGAGATCACATACAAGCTGGGTTCTTGACCATTCCTGCCATGGTCTGGCTGTTTGACCTAAGTCACAGGTACCTGCAAGCCTGCCTCCCTGGAGGTGGGGACTATCTCTCTGCTATTCTTCCTCCCATACAGGGGGCTGTGAAGCCAGCCGGGCTACCAGACACTGGCCATGCTAGAAGCGTGACTCAAATCTGACCGGTGCTAGGTGGCGGTGACAGCTGAGGCTCAACGTTCAGGTGGAGAGCCCACCGACCGAACCCTGTGCTCCCCTGCCCAGGGATCCATGCTGTGCAGCTAGTGGAGGGTGGGCACTCTGGGCAGGCACACACTTTTTTCCTAAAGTCAGAAATCCAAAACTCAAAGCCCTTTTCATCTCCAGCATTGACTCAATGTGAAGTTGCTGAGGTTGCTGTTCAGTTAAATGCTCAGCCATCTCAGACGGGAGGAGAGCAGTGAGGAGAGGGCCTCCAGCTGCCAGCCCTCTACAGTCTCCTCCAAAGAGAGCTCAAGCTCACTCACTTGTTGCTGTGTTCACTAGATGAGCCTAGAGTTGTAATTCAAGGGAGAGAAGGGTCCCTTCGCTGATACTGCAACTTGCAGAACATGAAATCAAATGGACAGCTACAGAGTGAGATAAAGGCAGAGGATTTGTGTCCTGGGGCCCATGCATTTGTGGGCCCACGGTGTCTTACAAAGGACTCTGGGAGCACAGCGGAGAAGCTGCTCAGCAGCCTGTGGTCAGCAGCAAGCTGCTGTCTGAAAGCTCGGGTGAGCAAACGGAGAGGGAACACCTGTACACAGCCCATGAGGGCCGGGTTCAGTTGCACAGACAGAGACAGTTCCAGCCAGGTCCTGAGGGCAGGCCATTCGCCAGGCCCAAACTTTCAGCAGCAACTGTCGCTTAGCAACTGGTGACCTGGGGCAAGTTATTTATCTCTTTATGTTTCAAAGTCATCACATAAAATGGGGATCATTATACGTACTTGCTTAACTACTACAAGAAATGAGCAGTAGATCAAGGTGGTTTCCACTCAGTGCAGCCAGAAGCACTGGGAGGAGGTTTCTGAGTGGCGGGCTAGGGGTGGGATCACATTGCAAGCACAGCCTTCACAGGAAGACTAAATGGTATGCCCCACGCTACACATGCCACTATCTTTCAAATGCATGTTAGGGTGAATCAGACACACATTTAGCTAAAAGAAAGCATCACCAAATTCAGTAATTTTCTTATTAAACTATCAGGAAGTGAAAGTTCCAAAGATTTTTTTCCCTAAAAGGAGGGTTCTGTTACTCTAAATCTGAGAGGGGAAGGAAGTTAATATGATTTAAGTGTAACACCATACTAGCTCCCATGCCCAGGAAGTAGCCCCTTAACTGCTAGCAAAGCTCATCAGGATCAGCACATTTATCCAACCGTACCTATTGTCCCTGCTCCCCTACCCCAGCCCCACATGGTCTGAATAAAACCAGCCCATTACTCAGATTCAAATCTCTGAGACTCCACGGACAGGTGAGAGGTGTTCTGGGGCCGATGCCTGTTAACAAGGACACCGAGCTCTGCAGGAGATGGCCTTGGAAAGAGAGGACCCTCTGGGAGCACAGGCTCCCCATGAAGAGCTCTGTGCTACTCCACCTGGAGCTCACCAGCTGGCAGTTTGCTAACTGCTCCTCCACCTGCTCACTGAGCAGACCCTAAGCGGCCCAAGTGGACGGCCTGTTTACTTCTATGCCAACTCAGCCTCCACCTCCCCTTCCTCCCGGGAGTTCCCTACTACTTGCTTTGCTATCTGTAATTTGGGAATATAAAAACATCGATTGCAATACTTTCAACAATAAAGAAAAATTAAAACCTAAAAAAAATAAAAATAAAAACATTAATTGTGAACACTTCATTTCTGGCCATTCTAAGGAGTGAGTCTCAATCCCTGGAAAGATTTGTTTGTTTCCTCCAGTACCAATATCAATTCAGGGACTGCCCAGGAGCTTAAAGGAGCAAGTGCAGTGAGGGGACATGGGCACAGTTGTCATCAGGTCCACGTTGTTCTAGAAAGATGCCATGCCCAGCAATGTTAGCATCTGGCAGGGGTCTTGAGCTCTGAGATGAGGACCTGGCTGAACTGCGGTCAATTCAGGTGAATGATGGTCTTAACCTGAAGCATTTCTCAGTAGAGAAAAACAGATTGGGTAGTTCTGGGGAAGCTAGCCATCTATCAATCAGTTGGGTCTGCAAGGATTTAGGGAGGGAGTGGAGGGCCCTTGGTATTATTGGTCTTGCCAGATTCCTAAACTAGTTATGTGTTGTTTTTTTATTGTGGTAAAATAAACATACTGTAAAACTTACCATCTTAACCATTTTATGTGTACAGTTCAATGGTACAAGGTACATTCATATTGTTGTGTGACCACCAACACCATCTATCTCCAGAACTTTTACATTTTTCCAAAATGAACCTTAGTATCCATTAAACAGTAACTCCCCTTTCCTCCCCCAACCCAGACCTTGACAACCACCATTATACTTTCTGTCCCTATGACTTTGACTACTCTAAGTACCTCATATAAGTGGGATCATACAGTATTTGTCCTTTTTGTGACTGGCTTATTTCACTTAGCATAATGCCCTCAAGGTTCATCCATGTTGTAGCATGTATCAGAATTCTCTTCGTTTTTTAAAAGCTGAATAGTATTTCACTGCATGTACGTGCCACATTTTGTTTATGAATTCTGTTGATGGACATTTGAGTTGCTTTTACTTTAGTGGTTATTGTAAATAGTAATACTATGAGCATGGATATACAATCTATTCCAAACCCTGCTTTTAATTCTTTTGGGTATATACCCAGAAGTAGAATTGCTGGATCATATGGTAATTCTATGTTTAACTTTTTGAGGAACCACCATACTTGTTTCCACAGCAGCTGCACCATTTTACATCTCCCCCGGCAATGCACGAGGGTTCTAATTTCTCTACATTCTTGCCAACTATTGTCATTTTTTTCTCTAACAGCCATTCTAGTGGGTATAGGGAGATATCACATTGTAGTTTTGATTTACATTTCCCTAATACTTAGTGATGTTGAGCATCTTTTCATGTGCTTATGGGCTATTTGTGTGTCGTCTTTGGAGAAATGTGTATTCAAATTCCTGGCCCATTTCTCAATAGAATTATTTTCTGAGTTGACTAGTTACCTTTTAAAATAACTATTCTTTTAAAATAACTATTTAAAAGAAACCAAAAATGTCATAAACAAGGGTGAACTTTTGGCCTCTCTGTGAATACTGGCAACAAAGGGACAGCTTAGCCAT